GGATGGCTTTGCACCTTCCCGCTAAGCTATCGCTTTCCCCAGTTTCCCAATAGCTAGGAGAGAAACAACATTTCTACACAACCTAAGCCCACACAGCACTGCCTGGCTGTAGGAAACCCCCTAGAAATCCATGGCTGAAGAGAGGTCTGGAGCTAGCATCCTCAGATGACCTCCCGTTACAAACTCCTAGGGCTCTGGCTATTTATAAATGCCTCGGTAAGGCTAGAGTTCAAGAATGCACTAACGTTTATAACTGCAGAGTCAAGTCGCCCTCTTGGGCATCTTCCTCAGGCCAGGGAATTCAGAGAGGGTATCTGCTGTATGAGGATAATCAAAACTGGCCCCCAAAATAATTTATTGCAACAATGTGCTGAAGAATACGTTAACTCCTGGAAGCCCCTGTTGGGCCGACAGCTGCGGTAGAGCCGGGCTGCTGAAGCAAATGAACCTCACCTTACCCAGGAGCTGTACCCCGAGGGGAAGAGCTGTAGGATCAAAGGTCAACATAACCCAGAGTAGAAACCTAACGCGATGGTGATCTGTTGCAAGGGCTCCGGCATGCCCAGGATCACAAACCGCAGCTCCATCTCTTGCCCTCCTCTTCATTCGCTATCAGCATTGCAAAGAAAAACACCCGCTGTGGTGCGTGCCGGCCTTACTGCTTCGTCACACCCGCTGCCCTCATCGGGTTTGGTTTTTAAAACATCGTTACAGGCTGGTAAATTAAAAACCAACAAAAAAATCTGCCACCTGGTGGCACACGGATTTATTTTACGGGAGATGCTGATGGGAGCGTGGCTCGCTGTGTTAATGGTGGTTTTCCAAAGGTACTTTCACTTAGCAAACTCTCAGCCAAGCAGTCTTGGAGCAGATTTTGAGACCACTTTGGGGTACGTCCCAAGGTATTTACGGCATGTAGGTATTCACAAAACTAAGTGACAATTTGAGTGATTTGCTTCTATTATGGAAAAGGTCCTGAAGACGCTCCTACCAGCCCAGACTAGCATTTCACGGGATACAAAATGAATTAGAAATTTTCTTCAGAATGCGCCCTAAGGTGTGCCCCTCAGCCTGCAAGTTCTCTCTGAACGTAAACACTAGGCGTCCTAATCAGTAGGAAAAAATGGCTATTTGTGGCTCATTTCAGTAAGAAAAAATATAAACCAAGCAGTTTTTCCTAAATCTTCCTTTAATAACTGAAGCGTACTTCCACCCGAATGTTTCCTCATGTCCCCTGGACTGCCATGCCAACCTTCTCTGTGTCCACAGCGTGAGGAGGAGGAGGATGAGGAAGAGCACAGGCCACCCTCCCAGGCTGCAGCCTGCAAAGGGGGGACCCTTCCACAAGCTGTAGGGCTGAGAGTGAAACGGCTGTCTGGCCGGAGAACCTCGTACGACACAGCATCAGACAGATACAGGGGCCTTGCCATCTTGGGAAGACGATAAAGGAGCCAACACTGTGTTTCTGCCTCTGTAGGCTGTATTGGTGGGGGAGAGGGAATTACTGCAGCCAGTCCTGGTGGCCACCTTTGCCAAGGGCACTGCAAATTTGAAAAAGTGGGCAAGAATGAGCTAAACATATTAAAGAGTTGGGCACCAGGTCTTACAATGAGAAACCTCAGAATTTCAAGATTGAAAAGAAACTTGCTTACAATGTCGGAGAAGTTCGTAGCTGCTACTGAGTTACTACAAAGTCAGCTTCTGAGAGCTTTTGTCATCTGGCAGAGAAAAAAAAAAAAAAAGAACTGATGATGCCAGACAATCTTGTGTTAGTAAGAAGGCATGACATTTAATTACAAGGAAATTACCAGTTCGAGGAAAATACAAAGAGAGGGGCTGGAGTTTGTCTCCTGAAGTCTTCGAGCAAAGACAGACAACTTCCTGGAAGTTTGACTTCGGGCAGTTTATTTGTGTATAAGATAATATAATCAGAGATAAGGTCAGATGATCTGACAGTGCCTTCTAATCTTGAAATCTGGGAATGAAGTCATATCTGTCAATAAAGTCTTGCTGCTCAGGAGTGTAACTTGGTGATAGGAGCCTAATTTAGGAACAAAGTGTGAAGAGCATGTGTTAAAGGATGAGGAAAAAGGATCAGAGAAGTCATAGCCAGCCCTGTGATCGCGGCAGGACTCGATGTATTTTGCAAGTCTGAAGTCATGGGGAAATGGGAGGTGTTGAAAAGTGTTTCTCTCCTGCGTGCTTAGACAGCTTATGTAGAAATAGTTACAAATTGTGAAGACTGTATCCCAAAGGAGTTTCACTTTTATTACTTGATGGGTTGCTTTGTAAAAAGATGGTCTTCTCTGGGGATCTGTAGCATCCCCAGTCCCCATCCCTGCTGCCTGCTCTCACGGGAGGCTCCCTTGCAGCCTCCTAGTTGAGATGTGGCTTATTTCTAAACCTCCTCGACCAACATCAGCAATCAGGCGACCTGTGCGTAGGTGGCCTTTCAATATATAAAGGGGACTTACAAGGAAGATGGAGAGAAACTTTGTACCAAGGCCTGTAGTGACAGGACAAGGGGTTTTAAACTGCAAATGGGTAGATTTAGATTGGACATAAGGAAGAAATGTTTTATGATGAGGGTGGTGAGACACTGAAACAGGTTGCCCAGAGAAGCTGTGAATTCCCTGTCATTGGAAACTTTCAAGATCACGTTGGACGGGGCTCTGAGCAACCTGATCTAGTGAAAGATGTCCCTGCCTATGGCAAGGGGGTTGGACTATATGACTTTAAAGGTCTCAACCCAAACCATTCCATGGTTGTATGGTTCCATAGTGACCCAGCTACACACCAGGCCCATGAAGCTTAAAATTTATTATCAGCTGGTATTTAAGTGTTAGCTGGATGTTGAAAACATGCCAGAAGCAGCTCATTTCTTGCACCAGAGTTAAATTACTGATCTGGTTATGGCCAAGCCAAACTGATCCTCAACTGCTTTCTGGGACCTTTGACTGAAGGAGCTGTTTCACAGCAGCAGTGGTTTTGGGGAGATGCTTGCAGTGAGCTGCCCTAAGGAGCTGTGTTCACTCAACAGGAGACCGAGGTGCTGCTGAGTTCACCAGCCTCGTCCAAATGGCACCAAATCGACGCAGAGAGCTGCTCTGAGCCTTTTGAACACATGGATAGGGGTGGTTTTGCTCCTTGCCGGAGCGTGTCTCCAGCCTGGAGGAGAGGAGCAGGGGGCAGCGGAGCCAGGGGTCTCCCCGAGCTGTGATGCTCCCAGCCATTGACCGGCTTTGTAATTCGTCCCCTCTGATTCACCACCTTCATACAATGAATGTAAATTGTGAAGATGCTCCCAGCCATTGACCGGCTTTGTAACTCATCCCCTCTGATTCACCACCTTCATACGATGAATGTAAATTGTGACAGTGAGGCTCGCTGTTTGCAGGCTGAAAATAAAGGACTGCCTTTGTTTTCTTTAGGTGTGGGTGTTTCCAGGGTAATAGCCCCGCTGCAGCAGCAGGTGGGACCCCTCGGCACCGGGGACCCCTCGGCTGCTGGAGGTGCGTTGTCCCAGCAGCATGGGGGTCCCGTGGGGGGTCAGGGTCCCCCTGTGTGACAGCAAACAACTGCATTTCTCAGCCAGGCTAATGGCAGGGGACGACACCCCACTCTGAGGGATTTCGAGCGGGCAGCACACCTCCTGCACAGCACCGGCCCACAGGCTGCCCACCCTCTCCCATGACAGGTTCGTTAATGTCAGAGGTTCGTTTCTGCACCAGCACAACCTAAAGCATTAGGTTCCCTGCCAGGAAAATCTGCCACAGGGCAGTGTGCCACAAGAAGAGGTGGTGACCTTCCTCCCCCCGGCCCCGGGGGCTCATGAAGCCTGAAGCAGGTGGTGCTCGCTGGAGAGACAGCTTGCCCAGGCAGCTTGCAAATGCAGGCATCAGGTGTATTGTCCTGTTTCATGCCTTTCTGCAGGGAAAGCCAATGCTGCTTCCCGCAGGAGTGGGTGCCCAAGTGCTGAGGCTGGGGCACCAAACGCAGTCCCCCAGCAAGGCTGTCCCCTGGTGTCACCCCCAGCCCGCTGAGCCTGCTCATCCCTGTGCTCGGGGAGAGCAAGGGCTGTGGCTGTGAGGTCCCACTTTGGACCTTAAATTTTTCGTTAATATTACCTTGAAGAAATGATGTTGTCAATTCTCCCCCTCTTCCATCATGAGAACTGTTTTCCTATTAATTTGGAGCTATCGATTCCTACAGCAAGAAATGCTTTAGTCATCCCCTCCTCAGCTGGTAAGAGCTCTGCCCGAGTCCCGACGTCTCCTAAGGAAAAGCTCTCTGTCCTTCAGTTGCAGCTCTTCCCAGCCAAGCAGCCTCTGCAAGAACCAAATCAAGGGGACAAACAGCACAGCTTGGTTTTTTGGGAGGAGGCTCATCCCCTCGAGGTGTCTATTATCAAAGTTTTCTTCCTAGAAATATCCTACAGCTCAAATGGACGTGGTGAGATTGAGAGAAGTGTCCTTATAGAAATGTGACTGATTATAAATTATGCCTTTCAGCCTTTAAAATCCATGAGATTGTATGCAAGAGCAATACCCACCCTGAACCACGCTACCTCCAGCTGTGCCTTCGGTACCCAGCAAGCGACCGCAGCCAAGTATGCCCACAACCATCTTTGCATTTTCCTGCTGGCATCCTGCTTTTTGCCCACCAAACCCCTTCAAAAGGAGGCTCACACACATCTGCTCAGAATGCTGTCTTTTATTTCGGAAGAGGCCCGAGGAGCTGCCAGTGCACGGTTAGCAGGACAGACCTAAAGCCGATGGGGAGGAGGGATGCGGCAGACGAACGGCTCTGCCCGGGCGCTGCTCCCTGCTGCGGTTCAGGAGACAAGGCTAGCAGTGGTGTGCCATTTCCACCTTCACGACATTGTTGGGTCCCAGCGAGTAGGTCACCTCGTCCTCGCTCACGCCGGGCGGCAGGCTGATCTCCTTGGTGATGTTTCTGTAGTTATACTCCTTCCCTCTCGCCGTGGTGCGTTCCTCCTCGTGCTCTGCTGACACCTTCACTTTCCCATCTTTTACCGTTACAGTGACTTCCTTGGGGTCAAAACCCTTCACATCCACCACAGCCAAAAGCTTGTGATCATGGGAAGAGTTCAACATCCTGTTAAGTCTTCTTTGCATGCTGGAAGAAAAACAAGAGGACAGCCTTTCACAGAGGAATGGGTGGACCACCTTAAGGCCAAGAGAGGTAAATATGAAACTATTGGACCCATCTTCATGCTGATGCACAGCACTTGGGGTGGTGTCTGCACCATCAGGAAGGGTTCCCACCGGCATGCCACTGCAGTCAGGAGTATTTCAGTGTCTCCTCTTGGGGTGGGGCAACTGTGGAGCTGAAAAGTTCTTTCACCTAAATACAGAGAAGCCAGCACTCCTCTTTTACAGGTACATACGCCCACGAAGCCATGCGTGTCCATCTTATGCCTTGTCCTACATTTTAAACAGATAGTTACAATAGATCACATTTTCCCATTAGGAGTTTTGTTTAAAGCAGTCAGTGGATAGGAGACACATCTGGCAACAAAACCCAAAATGCTCCTGCAGAGCTGGGCTGGAGGCTCGCTGAGCCATTAAAGTGATTTCTAACACTGTCAAACAGGGACTCTGCTCAACTAGAAGGCTGGCTCTTATTCAAACCATTTGTAAAGTAGACAATGGAAGGGTCACCTCAGTTATAATAGCTGAATTGGACACAAGGCACCAAATTAAAAAGATAATGGGTGTGATGGAACAGGAAATAGGGCAAGCAATGAGGGAATGGCCATGACCACTAAGGTGAGAGAGAAATCCTAATGAGTGATTCATTCGTAAGGTACACCCATTTGAGCAATCCTACTTAAAGCCTGCAATAATTCAACCTGGTGTGGTGATTTTGGGATGCATTTTTTGTGCTCTGTGACAGCTGCCCCTTTGGTCTTTTTTATATTGCTGGCCGGAGAATAAACGTGCTGAGAAGAGTTGATCCTTCCCAGCATTTTTCGTGGGAAGGGGATGGCCGAATTCCCCAGCACGACGGGCTGAAATCCCTCTGTGGTGTGGTTTCAAATGGCAGTGGTATGGACTCATGTTCAAACTAGCAAGTTGTCCCGAGCGTGGCAGGGCTGGGGAGCTTGGCATTCAGGGAGAGCATGCCCCAGCATCCCACAGCCCATCCTGAGAGCCCCCAGCTTCCATTCAGACTGAATTTCCATTCCTTCACTGGGATTTTGGTGTGTGATGACTCTGCAAGGGGATGCTGTGCCTGCCCAGCTCTGGTACCCAAAGCTCTGATGAAGATCTGGACACAGACACCAGTCCTGTAACACCTGGGATCTCAAATCTGCTACTCAACAGCCCTGCGTGAGCTGCAGCTACCGGGTAAGTTTAATGTAACCTCACAGTAACTTTTGGTTTTGCTGAAGTCAGTGTAAAATTAACCCAGGGGTCAGGCTTTTTTCCTTTTTCCTCGAAGTTTATTGCACCTAGTAGAAAACGCACGTGGCGGACTGTGGGATGACACTTGCTGCTCTGCGGGTAGTGAAAATGTCACATTTTTAATTGCCAAGGTGAAGATCTCATCATCTCTAGGTGCAACATAAAGAACTCAAACAGAAGCTTGAGTTTGAGGAGAAAATATCAATGCCACAAATGCAGCAAGAGACTTCCACTGCTGCTGCTGACCATGGGACTTCTTAGCCCTTGGGGTCTCTCAATGTTTGGTTGTGCCTTAACCCAAATGGTAAGGTTTTATCATTCAACAGCTCCCTTCCTGTAGGGCTACCTTTGGGTTTTATCTCTACTACAGTCAATCTTGAACTCCATTAACAAAATAAAATCATCACACCAGTGGTCAAAATAGAGATGTAGAAAACCTGACGCTTATTCCTCCTACTGTATGAGGTGGGAAAATATGGACATGAGTTTGTGGTGTGCCAGTGCTGCACCCCGCTGCATACAGGCACGTTTTGGCTACTGATGAAGTTAATTACTTGTTTACCAGACTTAAACTGAATTTACATTGAAGATGGACTTTGTTCCACAGCTGAACAGCTTTGGATCTAGTTGTGTACTTTACTTAAGATGCAGTTTGTGAGATGGATAATGTCACAGTGCCACGGTCCAAACTCTTCCTGGTGTGGTGTTGCCTGTGTGGCTCCTCTCAGACTGCCTGGCTGCACAAACCGTGCCTTCCCATTCCTCTTTCATGGGTCTGCTGACACGTCACAGCTCCACAGTCACCATGGGAAGCGCAGCCCTGGTCCATGCACAACTGCACCCCACCTTGCTGCAGCTCCCACCCACGGACCGGGGGAGCCCATGGCCGGGGGACATGCTGGGGGGCTTGGGGCATGGCGAGAGTATGTCCGCAATGGCCGGGCAGCCGAGCCACGGGCCATCGGGAGCACGACTTGGCTGCGGTTTCATGCACAACATTGCTTCAGCACGGCTGCCCACGCGATCCCCCCCTCTCCTGCCCTGGCACACCAGCGCAGAGGGAACGCAAGCCACCCCTCTCCACTCCCAGGCAGAAATCCCCATGGATAAAGCCCAGGTCTCTACTCAGGCTTTTAAGCTTGGTCTCCTCTTGAAACTCATGGGGACTCTCATTCCCAGGTCCCGACCACCAGTGACTTGGGAGAAGGGAAACACGCAGCCGGCTGCTGCCAACCTGCTGCAAAACCACAGCCCCCCACAGCCCTCCCCTCCTCGCTGCTTTTGCTGCTGTTTACCACAGCCGTAAAGAAAAGCTGTAAAGCAAGGAGAGCTGCAATTGCTCTTTACGCTTTTTCCTCTTCCTGCAAGTGCTTTGCACAACATGTCGGACGTGAGATGCCTACACACTGTTTTCACCGACGCCCAGCGTGGCCTGCCACGGCGTTAGGCAAAGGCGACCAGAAGCCTTGCCCTGGGTACACATCAGGATGGTCAGCGGGGTGCTGCCACCCCAGGAGCACCACCAGCTCCCCCAGCGAGGGCCAGGGAAGGGCGAGGGGCTGACGGCAACTCCCCCCCAGCTGCTCCCCACCTCCCCGTCCTGCCGGCTCTCTTCTCCCAGGGTTTTCTCCAGTCACTACAAGTTTCAGATGTGACTTCAAACCTGCTGCTCCCATCGGGAACTTCTCCCTCTGCCTGTTAGCTCTCTGCCTCTTTTTTTTAATGGGAAAAGCACAGCAAATGTTTAAAAATGTCCAGAAATGGAGGGTTCTCTTTACATCCCTTACTGACAGCTGCAGTTAAGGTACTTCTGGAAACACTTTGAGAACACGCACCTTCAAAAATATTTATGTCCCTGCTCTCACACCATATTAAGCAAACAAGGTGCTAAGTAAAGCAGACCAAGGCCTTTGCTTCCCCCCTCACAGATGTTACTCCACAGCTTTCACCTGCCCATGCATCAGAACAAGGTGCTGCCTTGGCAAGAGTGGGTGAGATAAGGATTTTGATTTACAGAAGACAGCAAAAAGGATGCTGCATCCCAGAGTTATTTTACAGAGAAGGAGACAGGGCACATGTGCCGCATACACGCAGGGCACTGCTGCAAGCACTTACCTTAGCTGACAGTTTTACCTTTGCAGATCCCATCTGTGCAGGGATCTGTTGCCTGCTCGCTCAGTGAGCTTGGGCTGAGTCACTAGCTCCTGCCTTGGGGACTTCTGAAGCCATTGTGTCCTCTCAGGCTGTTGCTTCAGTTTTTTCTTGAGAATGATCTGCGTGGGTTTCAGCATCAGCGATGCTGGTGCCGTGGATGGATTTGCCTGGCTCCCTGAAAGGTGCCTGTGGTGTACTTTAATCGCAAGCAGCATTGACACCAGTATCTTCTGGGTCTAATACTGTTAGAAAAACTAAGAGAAGACTACTGGAGTGGGGAGTGCTCCATATTTCAGGGACATCTGGTCTTTAAGAGCTTGTAGTGGATCAAGAATCAGTGGGAATGCATAGTCCCTGTGTATTTCAGCAAGCAAGAGAAGACCCCTTGGGAGCCCCTGAGCTGCTCTACCCTGCTGGCACCTTCCCACGGAGGATGTGCTTTCCACAATTATTAGCTGTATCCAAAAGCCCAGGTAGCTCCAGACAAGAAAATATCCCTTGCAGCCTCCAAGGAGGCAAAGTCAAGCTGGCCCTGAGGGCTGCTCCCGCAGGGCTGACCACCAGTGGCCGAGCAGGGAGTGCGAAAGGGGGACCCCAAGAACCAGAACGGGGAGCAGGTCATATCTTAGGTTGGACAAAAATACATGAGGCTTCCTGTTGGACATCACTCACATTCAAACATTGGTGTATCATATGCAAGAATAAATTTAAACATTCAGATGTAACTTTACATACCTAATTATATTTACATATACCAGCGATTAAAAAGCTTTGTTAAAAGCCAAATGCTTAATAAATACTTACAAGACAAAACTTAACAACTCTCAGTTCCCAGCAATGATACTCACCAACAGCTTCTGTCCCATCATCTCCGATAACAGCCGTAGCCCAAGTCTGAACCGTGTTCCCTCAGACTGGCCTGTGACACAAACGCTGATCCCAGCCTCAGCAGCACCAACACCCACATCTCAGGCATCTGCAAACTGCTGAACGGGATGATGTGCTATTTTGCCAAGGTGAAATATGAGTTTGGCTTTTCAGTAAATCAAGAGCCAGCTTATTTTATATTGAAAGGCAGTTTCATCCAGAAAAAAAAATTGCTTTATGCCTTATTACTCATAAAAGCCATCACTTTTTTAGTCTGAAGACAAATCTTTTACTTAAAAGCTGAATTCAAAGGCTGTATACCTTTCTGACAGCAGTATTTTGTCTTTAAAACTGACACTTTCTAGTCTCTTTGGCTCCATATGAAAGAGTCTTTCAGGAGGTCTCTCTCACATGGTAAGAGCTCGAATCCTTTATTTCACAGAGGAAGTTTTGTTTGCCAAGTCCCATCTGAAGCGATGAGATCTGGACCAGACCACTCAAACCAAGCATCGAGCTAAATCTTCCTGTCAGAGCCCTGGCCGTACAGACAGCAGGAGCTGTTACAAAGGAAAGACACCAAACACAAGGTTGTGTGTCAAAATAAAATTTCTGCAGGAAAAGCAACAGCTTGAAAATGATTTGAAGTTAAACCTCCCTGGCACATG